TGCCTATAATCCCAGCACTCGGGATGCTGAGGCAGGAAGTTCACCATGAGTTTGAGGCCAGCCTGGATTGCATAGTGAGTTCAAGGCTAGCCTGGTACTTAGTCAAACTCTGTCTCAAGCCCCAGCCCCTCAAAACAAGAAAGAGAAAAAAAAAGAGATGAATATAGTTCTTTGACCTAATATCACATCCTGTTATTTTGTACATAAAGAAGAGGCACATCCATTAAAATTTTTGTTTTTTATTTTTTTGTTTTGAGACAGGGTCTCACTATGTACTGTAGTCCAGGCTGGTCTTGAACTCACTATGTAGTCCAGGCTAGCCTCGAACTCATGGTGGTCCTCTTGGCTCAGCCTCCTGAGTGTTGGGATTACAGGCGTGCGCCACCATGCCTGCTTATCAAAGTTGTTTTAATAGTTTGTTAAAGTATTTCAAGTACCCATGACACCTATTGAATTGGATCTTACCAAGAGCCATGTGCATCAACTGTCGTAAAACTTTTTGCAATTTGTACATTTAATTAAAATTATATCATTTGAAATAAATGGAGCATAAATATGAAAAGTTATTATCTATGCAAATCAGACAAATTAATTCTGTATACTTATTTTTTTTTTTTTTGGTACCGGGAATCGAACTCAGGACCTTGCACTTGCCAGGCAGGCACTTGTGCCACTGAGCTATATCCTCGGCATTTTTTTTTTTTTCCTCTTTTTTGAGACAGGGTCTCGCTATGGCGTTTTGACTGGCCTTGAGCTCACTCTGTAGTCGGGTCTGGCCTCGAACTCCCAACGATCCTCCTGCCTCAGCCTCCCAAGTGCTGGGATTACAAGAGTGCGCCACTACGCCCGGCCCCAGACAAATCAATTCTGAAAGACCCAGAATTAAGTTACTGGATTAAACCTATTGCTAAAGTAAATTTGGCAACTGTAGAAGAATAGCTCAGGGGTAAAGCTTGTACTTAGCATGTGCAAGGCCCTGGATTCAATCCCCAGTACCCCTGTACTTCTTCCTCCAAAAGAGATGAAGGAAAAATATGTAAACATTTACAAAGCTTCCATTCTCAGACTGTGTCATTATTTTTAGGTTCTCCACACTTTAGGAAACTGCAGCTATAAAGCTGGGGCTGGAGCTCAGTGAGAGAGCACTTGCCTATAACGTGTGAGACCCCTGGGTTTCATCGCTAGAACCTCAGCACTGAAAAAGATAAGAAAAGAAACGCAAGTGGTGTTCTCCTACAAACCACAGCTAGAGGTACAGCTCTGTGTATAGCATTTGCCTGCTATGCATGAAGCCTGGGGTTTGCTCCCCAGCAGTAGAAAAGACACTGTAGCTAGAAACTTTAGACTATGCAGTGTATACATGCCCTGGACAAGAGTCACACACACCATTGGCAGACTTACACATGACAAAGCACTGTAAAATAAAATACTAAAGCATATATTCTTTTCTATGATTTTGCAATGTAGCTGAAATTTTCAATTATTGATCAACTCCTGAAGTGACAGTATGGATAAGAAAATTTCTAGCCCCCAAAAAGAAGAAAATTTCTACCACATTAATGTCAGAATCAGGCAAACATGTACTAAATATATACTAAAATGCTTATCAAGCCATTCGCACAAAACTCTGTCTCAAACAGCATTTAAGTATTTAAAAGATATTTTTGGGGTAGAGTTTAAGACAGGGTCTTGCTGTGTAAGCTGGTCTTCAACTTGCACTGATCCTCCTGCCTTGGCCTCAAAGGTGCTGGGACCTCAGGTGTGTGCCACCACATCTGGCTTCAAACAGTAGTCAGACTTGAAACAAGGCATTGGAATTCACTAATAACGTGAACTACCCAAAATTTTGAGGATAATTCATTTTTTTTTCTATACTCAATTTTGTTTGCACTTTACTTTTCTGCTCTTCTTTAAGCAACAATATTATGGTAAGAATGAACAATATTTTACTACTTTTATTTTTATGT